GTATATATGTATATATATATGTGTGTGTATATATATGGGTGTGTATATATATGTGTGTGTATATATATATGTGTGTATATATATATATATATATATGCACTCTAAAAAATGCTGGGTTAAAAAGTCCCACGCATCTACTTTAGTTCAGTCTGACTGAGGTTGGGTTTCTGACCTATTGAAATATGGTAACATTCGAGGATTAAGAGAAATTAGTCAATCTCTTCTAAATGTCTATTTGTTTACATTGAATTTTCTGTAAATATTTTATTCTGATTTATTGGCTGTAGATACTATATGCTTTGATTCTCTTTTATTATTTATGCATTTGTTTATTCAATTTTCAATGAATGAATCTGTGTATGTGGGTTCTACATATTGTGTAATTTAATTCAGTGTGGATGTTGCCCTTAAACACCTGATGTAAATATTTTGATAACTTTAATGTATAGATTCAGTAATACACATTTAAGTGTTGCTTTACAAGAACAATGGCAAATGTATGTCACTCGGGACAAATAACAAAAAACAGGATTTGAAAATGTCGTCTTAGTTTCAGTCTGTGCTTTTATTTGCCTTGTGGTCTTAGTCTATATTGGGGGCATGCAAAATGTGCTTCTCTGAGACAAAGTTGCAGACTTCCTCCTGTGGTGGAACATGTTCATGTCAAGACCCTTCTAGAGGAAACCTGCCTCTCCTTCTGAGAATTTCATCTCTATTCTCACTTTAGTCCACCAACATGTACACCTTTATCAAATGGCTTTATTCAGATCTGAGGGGCGTTTGAAACCTCAAAGTGATAAACATTGCATTTGGGGAAAACTGTTGTGATTCATTTGCCAGAAACAAGAGGATATGTGAGAAAATGTGTGGGTCTAAAAATGTCAGTCAGTCCTGCCTAACTACATTTGGTATAGTTTATTTTGTACCTGGGAAATGTCACACAGTTGCCATCAAGTCTGTTTCAAAAAGTATTTTCTGGAAAAAGAAAGTCAAACATTTGCTGTAATGTGTGCTTACATTGACTGGAAACATGTGCAAGGTTTTGGTTTTAGGAAACAAGTTCTGGTGTAATGTGTATTGCAGCTAAAAAAACCCTCTTAAACCATAATGACATTTCTCACAAATTCTAAACCACTTTTCAAAACCTTAAACACAAATTCTCCATTTCACAGCAGGTGCTCATGTTGAAAGCCCTAACATTTAGAAAACCCCACAGCGGCATTACAGCTTGACTGGTTAATACACAATTCTCACCAGGTGAACATTAGTGAGAACATCGGTGTACGGAACGTTTTCTAGTCATCTGGTGAGCCTCTCATGGGTTATACCTCAGTTCAATCAACAAGAGTGATAGAAAACTCTTAATAAAAGAAATGTGTTTTTGATAGGAAATGTTTTGGGTGCTGGTTAAAAGTTCTTCAAACTAAAATATCAATATCATTCATTCTTAAAAATATATACAATTTATTAATGTTTGCTGGCCTGAAAATATGTATTTTGATATTTGTATATTAGCTTTTAGATTTTTGCTGTTTCATAAATTGTTTGTCATAACTTTGTTTTTATAATTTTGTTTTTACTACTTTTTTAACACTATAAAAAGGAAAAACAAATTGTGGATCTTTAAAGACATATCAGTTACAACAAAAATTAAATATTAAATTTCCTTTTACAGTGATACCAATTTAACATAAAAAGGTCAATCATGTCCATGTTATTTGTCAACTATAGCCTACTCCTGCAGTTGCAGCGTCAAACCTTCAGGTGTGTAGTCTTATCTCTATCCATAAGGCGGAGTTATCCACAGGTGTGTGTGTGTGTGGACAGGTAAAGCTGGAGGTGTATGGGAGTGTAGTCCTAACCGATTTAGTTGGTTTAGTATTTAAAATACATACATTTTGATCGTGGTACATGTGCTTTGCGGACAGCCAGAGAGAAATTCTACGCAACGATTGATTATTTTTCAGATGTTGCAATCTCAGATACGGACCTAATAGATTAAAGTCGACATTCTCAGGATAAAAAGGACCCCATGAACATGAAGAAAACATACTCTGGTAAGTACAGGACCACTGAAAGTTTCGTGCCAACAACTGACGTGACATTTGCGCTTATAAAGTAGCAGTAAACTTCGATTTTATCATTAAGCTATGAAAGCAAACTTGAAAAGTTATTTTGAGCTCAATATGTATGCAAATTACTAGGGGAAAAAGCTAATGACAATTTTATAAGCAATTAAATATAGTTAGGCCTAATTAACAGATGAACTGATAATGACATCCCATCATGTCAATTAACTAAGATTAGAATCGGCTATAGTTTGGCTCGTGTGCTCTGCATTTTCCATCAGATACCCTTTCGACTTGGTTTATATGGCATTGTTTTGTGTAGTTTTTTTTACTTTTATAGATAAACATGTCCAGTACTTTCTGACTAACCCTTAGGGTCTTGCACAATTATTTAACATGAATAATTTTCTTAAGAGTGTCGTTTTTTGGGGGGGGGGGCGCAATTTTTAGTCTCGTGCCACTATAGCACAGTGAGCCAAATGTCAGTGATTTAAGAATTTTTTTAAAAATCTGTAAATCTATAGTAAAATGATGTTTTGTCATGGTTTATTGACAACTGGCGCAAGCATCATGCTGTTGTTATGGTTACTCCCGCTGGCAAACGCTATGTGCTATCTGCTTAAAAATATGGTAACAAGGTTTTAAGGCTTGACTTCTTTAATGACATTTACCTGATTAATCGTAAAATCTGCTAAATTATTTAATAGATGACATGATGAATTTAATTTTATTAGTGAAATGTGTTCATTTATTTTAAATAAGGCCTGTTTGTATTTGATTTTGAGTTACCTTGTACAATTAAAAGACTGTATACAGCTAGACAGCTCAAGTAGGAAAAAACTTGTAACTGCACTGGTGTTAGCAAAGATTCTGCTCATTGAGCAAAGCATCATGCGTTATAGTGTTAGTACATGCAGTTATCCACAAACTCACTATAGCACAGTGAGCCAAATGTCAGTGATTTAAGAATTTTTTTTTAAATCTGTAAATCTATAGTAAAATGATGTTTTGTCATGGTTTATTGACAACTGGCGCAAGCATCATGCTGTTGTTATGGTTACTCCCGCTGGCAAACGCTATGTGCTATCTGCTTAAAAATATGGTAACAAGGTTTTAAGGCTTGACTTCTTTAATGACATTTACCTGATTAATCGTAAAATCTGCTAAATTATTTAATAGATGACATGATGAATTTAATTTTATTAGTGAAATGTGTTCATTTATTTTAAATAAGGCCTGTTTGTATTTGATTTTGAGTTACCTTGTACAATTAAAAGACTGTATACAGCTAGACAGCTCAAGTAGGAAAAAACTTGTAACTGCACTGGTGTTAGCAAAGATTCTGCTCATTGAGCAAAGCATCATGCGTTATAGTGTTAGTACATGCAGTTATCCACAAACTAACAGTGTTGGGGAAAGCTACTTTTAAAAGTAATGCATTACAATATTGCGTTACTCCCTAAAAAAGTAACTAATAACATTACTTAGTTACTTTTTATGGAAAGTAATGCGTTATATTACTTTTGTTACTTTCGCGTTACTTTTTAATATAAGCAGGGCTTGATTGTTTTTAATATAAGAAGTTCTAATGTAAAAGCCCCTTCACGCCAAAAAGTGTAATGAATAAGCCTCAGGCTGAAGCAAAAGTATATTCACGTCTGTACAGTAGAACGCAGGAGAAGAAACACTCTTCAGCAATAAAAAAACAAAGCACAATTGTTAGTTTCTCTAAAGTCATTTTTGATTATTAGTATGGTTGAACTGGTCAAAAGGTCAGCAGCAAAGACATTGGTTAATAGAATGGGATTAGATACATTTTGTGTTATTTAACATATTTAATTATTGCAGGTTTGCGTCATATTCTGAGTTTGCACTGTTTTAATTCATTTTGATTAATACTAAATCTGTTTTTTGTGAGTGGGATGAATTAATGCACATTCACATTTAGTCTAGAACTACAGTAGCATCATGTTCACACAGCGCACACAATTCCTCTGCACTTCCGATTTCTCCCAACATGGGGACTGGAGAGCTGTCAGTCAATAAATGGGAAAACAAAGTAACGCATTACTTTTTTGAAAAAGTAACTCAGATATTTTCTTGTAAATTAAAAAGTAATGCGTTACTTTACTAGTTACTTGAAAAAAGTAATCTGATTACGTAACTCGCATTACTTGTAATGAGTTACCCCCAACACGGCAAACTAACCATAAGATACCACAATAGAAATAACAGAAACTCTTTCAAATGTCAAACATAACTGTATGTTTCCCTTCACTCAAAAACACATGAAATAGCACTTAATTTCATATTCTCTTAAAATAAATCAGCTTAATCAGTTTCTCAATTCAAGCCTCAAAATTGCTTAAGTTTCCTTAAAAAATTTAGGAAAACATATCTCTTGGTTTTATTAGTGAAATGTTCTCAATATTTTCTACACAATATTGAACCAAAATTTCTTTATTAAAATATACACACTATTTTTAATTATCACCTTATTTTTAAAATGAAAATTACAAGACCCATGATTTATTTTTTACAGTGTACTGTAGGGAAATCACTTTTGGTGAGACCCTAGAAGAAAGATGAACCTTACAACCCTAGAAGAAAACCTCAAATCTGGTCTATACGATGATCTCAGCAACTCATTTATGCAACCATTTTCACAGGACATCCTATGTTTTTAGACATTATAGCATAGAGAACATTCATTGCTTGTTCTCACAACTTTAACCACACTGCTTCCCCTACGTTGTGCAACAGAGCCTGTGGCGCCATAGTGCCCTTACATTTAGAACAGCCATATGTTTCTTCCCTATAATCTCAATGCAAAAGCCGAACTCTCTGAGTACACAATGATTTTGCAGGAATGTAGAGTTTCCTCAGGCTCGCCAAAGTCATTGTCACAGCACACCCAACTCCTAGCACACACATGTTGAATCATGTAATCAGTCCTTTTTCTCTTTCCTTCTCTGGCAGCACACAGCGTGTGTGATCTCATTCAGAGAATATCCCTCAAGTACAACCTTGGCCTCTACTGAAAAAACAATGGTGCTTAAAGGGATAGTTCACCCAAAAATGTAAATTCTGTCATCATTTACTCACCCTTATTTTGTTTATTTGACACCGTTAAGTGTTAAGTTTATCTGTGAAAACCGAATTTCTACATGTTGGATTACATGCTGTACTGTTCATGTGGAATTAATGCTAAAAATGTCTCCCATGTCTCATCTGGAAGTGAATCATTTTGAGCGGATGAATGAATCTCTTTGTTAATCCTTTATTTTGGATTATTGCCCAACAGAGATTACTGAGGCAATAGAGACTCTGCACTATAGCACTTTTTTTTATCAGTATCTGGCTCCTTCTCCTTCTCCTTCACTGCCTCCCTCCCCTTTCCTGACCTGCCCTGTCATCACAGTTGAGCTGACAGGTGAGTCAGCGGCAACACAAATCTGAAATTAACACAGACCAAGAGAGCTTTGAAATTCCTCTTTGCTCCAGAGGCATTTCGACTTGGATGGTTGATCACAGTCAATTTCAGTACCATGTCACACATTTCACATGTGCTAAAACGTCTCCTTTGACAGCACTTGACTTGACACTGAAATTGACAGATGGTTTGGTCTTTTCCTGCCTCCTCCATGTCTCCCTGCTTTTGTCTTTGTCACTCAAGACTGTTAGTTTAGTGATTACTGAATGCGGACACTGGAATGTCATGGATTGATAATGGACACTTCGTCTCACAGGGTGTGTACAGGAGTTAAATATTATCTACCGTCACTATCACGTCTTGCAAAGCTATGCATTTCTGCTAGCATCACCACATAGAACTGCAAAAATAATGACTGTATTCAAGCAAACTTCCCAAACACTCTCCTGTCTCTCATTGGTCAGTCAAACACATAGCCCCGCCCCAAACTCACACCATTGGTTCAGTGGGTGTTGCTATGTTAGGCTGTTCGGAATGTTTTGATAGCGCCACAGATTTAGATTGTTTACATTTTTAAGAGGAATCAACCTACTTTTTTTTTTTTAACTTATACAGTGGATTGTTGGTTGGATAAACATTTTACCACAGATAAACTGACACATTTAAGCTTTAAAGTTTAGGTTAAACTTAACTGAAATTTCTCTCTGACTAAGATACTTGCTGCGTCCCAATTCGCATACTATCCGTCCTAAATAGTATTCGAAAATAGAATTAGTATGTCCCAAATCATAGTATGTTTAAAAAAGTATGCCAAAGACTCCCGGATGGTCTACTACTTCCGGTTAGAATTCGAAGTGCAGATCGATGCACACTCTAACGGCTAATATTGTCCACAACACATTGTGCGGTGGACGAGGATTCAATTAGAACTACAAACACGCATTAAAAGTGTTAAAAACTACAAACATGGCGGATGTACGCGACCAACGGACAGGGAGATAAACGGATTTGAGTGATAAATAATCAATGTCTAACCTGATGAAAAAATATAAATGTAATGTTATCCACGTTATATTTCATCTACAGCAACACTGTGAACTTTTATAGTGATACGTTAGGTCATTAACTTTTAAATGCATCATTATGCAAACACATGAGCAGAGTTCTCGGCATGATAGACCCAGGACTAGCAGATCAACGTAGGCTACCTCTTAATTTCTCTCCAGTACGGTAGGAAATCAAGTTAAACGAAATATGGATGATGTTAACCGTGATAAGATGATTGACAGGGCAGTTTAAACATCTTCTACATACTCAAAAGTATGTACTTTTTCTTCACAAAAAGAGTACATACTTTTAGGGCATAGTATAAGTAGGCGAATTGGGACGCAGGGACTGTTTACTCTGTGATAAGATGCTCAATTTTTTCCCTGTTCTTTCTTGATTTATCAGTTTCAATTAGAGAGTTGGTCTATCGAAGAAACAAAAGGCATGACTTTATTTTAGCTTTTTCTTCTTCTTGCCCCGTGCTTGAGGAGGCGAACGGACCCCCCGCCCCCCACCCCTGGAACGCGATCGCGATCGGATCAAGGGAGGGCCCCCGCACTCTACATCGCAGCTAAGGATCCCTGCAGCTAAGGACGGCCCTGCTTCTTCCATATTATACAGTTGTGGTCAAAATTTAACATATAATTTTCGGTATCTGCAAAATGTTAAATATTTTACCAAAATAAGAGGGATCATACAAAATGCATGTTATTTTTATTTAGTACTGACCTGGGGCCAGTTCTTCGTACCTCGCTTAATACATCTGAGATGATTTGAAAGATGCCAGATCTTCTAGTCGTGATAACTGATCTCTGGCTAATTTGGTTCTTCAAACGAATTTGCGGATTTAATAAAAATATCTGGATTAAGATGTTTACGATTACTGCGCGTTCTCGTGTTCCCCGAAAAGGGCAGATCTATCGATACTCGAAACCACGATCAGCAATGCAGCGATTGGCTGGTGGCAAGACAGCAACGTAATGACATCATATCATTAAAAGAAGACACCTGATGAAAAACTTGACACATTTCGGGACCTTTATAAGGAAACAGCCTTAAGGAAACAACAGTGAACAAAACTACATAAATGTTATAATATATAACATATTTTTATTTATTTATTTATTTTACATGATTCCCAATTATTTATATTCACGATTTCAAGTATTTGTACAGGCTATACTTATTTCAATGTTGTAATTAGCAATTCATGTAATTTAATATTTGAAGCAGATTTGTTATGTGACAGCATTAATTAAATTTTCTTAAGGGTCCAGATCAAGTTATCTGCATCTCCTGCGCTCCGTCAAGCCACTCCTATAATAGCTGTCAGCACTCAAATTAATGCTCGACTCAGATGAACTGTATGTGTGTAAGACTCTAATACAATTATAAAGTTATTATTTTATCACGAATAAATCTTTCAATGAGTAAAACTGGCTGTGTCTATAGTATTATAGATTACACAACATTATAATATCATTTTAAAATTAATTTTAAAATTATTATTATTATAAATGATTGTCCCCGGATTAGTAGGGTACTCTTGTAATAGTCAACTGTTTGTCCTGAACAGTGAAACTGCCCACTGTTCTTCAGAAAAATCCTTTGGGGTCCCACAAATTCTTTGGTTTACGCTTTTGCGTATTTGATCCCTTTGCAGCAATGACTGTATGATTTTGAGATCCATCTTTTCACACTGAGGACAACTGAAGGACTCATACGCAACTATTACAGAAGGTTCAAACGGTCACTGATGCTCGATGAAACACTGAAACACGATGCACAATGTCCAATGTTTGAAACATGTAATCATAATAATAGTGATTTCAAAATTAACCTCTCATTTTCCTTCAAATAGAATAACATATAATTAAAACAGACAGTTAGCATTACATAGTACATAGGTTAGAATCTGTAAAAAATTAACTGGAGTTTCATACACAAGTAGTGCAACGTTTTAAAAAGCCTTTTAGTTTAATTAAGCTTAATTTCTGCCTTCTCAGTTTAAGTAAAATCAATGCAGTCACAAAGTTATAACTAGGGGGAATACGACACCTATCTAATCATTCATATATAAGGTCCCTCAGTATTATCAGCAGTTTTCGCATTGCTCAATAGCTAATTAGCCTCCTCCATCCCCAGCTCCTCCTCTGTCAGCCAGGATTCAGCCTTCTGATTATCCTTTGAATCAGACTAATTCTAAAATGTGTACATTAAATTATTGAACTTTAACGATATCTGCAATACATTTATGTTGGTTCTGTTCTATTTACCCTGGGGGGTTCGGCTAGGCTGCATGAATGCGCAGGGAGTTCTTGCCCAGAACAGTACCATACCGCCAATCCAAACTGTATGCTAATTGTCAATCATATTTGACGATAGTGGTCCTGACAGAAATGACCGTTATTGTGACAACATGAATTAAAAAAAATAATTTGTTATAAAAGAATAACAAAGTGGTAGGCCACAGTGCATGTGATACAACCTACATTTGAGCGTATGTATTTAGCAATGCTGGCCTGTTCAGTCATGTCCCAATGTGCAGGGACCCCTCATATTTACACAGCAAACAACTCAAATGATCTCACCCTTTCTTATCTATGTAGTGTGTCCATAAAACAGAGGGCACTTTCAGCCAGTTCATAACATAATGAATGCATATTGTCAGCTTGTCAGTCACGGTCATATATGAACTCACCCTGAAGGCACTTTTTGATTTAATATATACAGTGTTACATGATATACATTGTATACCTGGTACGTTATTTCTGTCACTCAGCCTTTTACCTTCATTATGTGAATATTTCCTGTAATTTAGCCTGTGGCGTATTGCATGTCAACACCATTATGCTTTTATCTTTACTTGCTGAATTGGGTCTCACAGGGCTTGACGGGAAAAACAGTTGTAATGTTATTTTGGTTCATGAATGTAAGAAAACAACAGATAACTTAACTAAATCATCATATTAACAGCCTGAGTTTATAATGCAAAATTAACTCAAAGAGCAGCTGGTGGTCTAGTCTGTGGTAAACCAAAGCACTTAATGTTGCTCTGGGCTTGCTTGATTTAGTCTGAACTGGCAGCGTACTGGAAACAATACGAGGGCACTAGTCCTCTGAATCAGCCTATTTTTATCTTTTAGATTACATCTCTACATTTGCATGACTGATTTTGTTATACTGGTGACGCATGCCCCTAACAAGTGTCTGGCTGCAGGAGATACTAGTCTTTAACAGACATGCCTGTTGATGTTTTATTGGTGCCAAAACTTTCAATCACAGAACTATTAGAAGGATTCCTCTGCAGGAACAGTAAACTGACTCAGCAACTCACCACATTGTTTCAGGAAAGAGTATCTGGCAGAGATTTGCCAGAAATGATGAATAAGCCTGCACTTGAATGGAAACAAATTAATGCTTTGTCACCTGTGAATCGCAATCATTGTTATGCTTGTAGGGACTAGCGCAGAGTTGGTTCATTGTTTCCTTTGTTAGCAGCACACAGGAAATTCACACATTTAATGTGTATGTTTTTTTTTTTCTTTTTTTTTCAACTTCTTGGTATCAGCAAAATCTCTGACCTGTAAGAATGTGCATTCACACAGACATAGATAGTAGTATTTCTCAGAAGAAAACAGCAGATAGTTGCACAAACCCAATTTGGTGATTTGATGATGACTTGTTGATTCTTATATGTATTAAAACGTTCTGTGATCTAAGGGTTTAGTGACCTGTGTTGTGGTGTATGATGATGTGGCCTGGTTTGGGGGGGGGGGATATGTAGATGTATTCTATCCCCTGCTTGAAGAAGAACTGAAAACATCTTGAACATTTTTATTTGCTTATTTATTGTTTTTGTATTTCTGTTTTAAGAATAATGGTTCATCGCAGTACCATGTTTTGTTCTTGTTTCAGTATCCGAATGAGTAGGCTTGACATCTTATTTCCTCTCTGTAAATCAAAAAACAAACAACAGAAATAACCGTCTGTTCTTTTTTTTATGAATAAAATCAGTCAGGAGTGGTACCACAATTACAATTACAGTGATGAGAATAAGCTTTATGCATTACAGTTTTGAGAATTAGGAGTTAAAATGTACTTAATTATCATGAAAATAAAGTAAAAACAATCTTATTGGTCCTAAATTTTCATTTATAATTTTATGAAAAATCATCCGAACATATATTCTTTTGTGAGTTGAGCCCACCTGGAATGCAGCTTGTTTGATCTTTGTTCTTTAAATGATCACATTTAGCAGTAGCACCACATACAGCATGACCTACATTGCTGTCCAAACCTGTGCAAACGGGGGACTTCAGTTTGGCTTTTATAGTTTGACCTTTAGAGTCATCTCTGTATCTCACTGTCGTGAGATTTAAATTGTCACTTTGCAAAACTCCAAACTGAATCACTTTTCTTGTACATTGCCTGATACTTAAACACCCTCCTGGTGATCTTAAAGGTTTTAGTGGTAGTACAGATTTCAAAAGACCGCAGCGTTTGATCCGTCTCTGTGTTTGTGACCCATCTGACTTGATTTTACAAACACATGCAGCACATAATTGAGTGGGCCGTGCTTCATTGCACTGATGTCTGTTCCCAACACATCTGCTTTCCTCTGCTCCATTTCTTCTGGACACAGTGTCCTATACATCTTGCTCTATATCCTTCCTCCTATAATCAGATAATTCTGAAAAGTGTTTCTATTATGTCTTCTGTGTTGACAGGCATTGCGAGGTCCACTAGTGGCAGGCTGAGGAGGCCAGAGAGAGGAGAGGCAACAAGTCCCACTGGTACGTGTTCACAATCACACGCAGGTTTGCTGTTGTTCATTGCTGCAATACACAGATCAGTGGTTAGTCATTTATAATAGTAAATATTTAAAATATTATTAACATTAATACTACTACAACTATTATTAATAACAACAACACCAATAATAATAAAAATAATAATAAATAAAAATAATAAATAATAAAAATAGTAGTAGTTTGTATTTAGTTTTATTACTATTAGGGCAGATGTATGTTTTCGTAAAAGCCTTCGCTGCATCAGACATTAGGCATTATGATTGACATTGCTTGTGAACACAGCTGTTTATGGAGTGCTTGAAGATATACGTACAGTTAATAAAGGCATTTAGTTTCACATTCATAATCCTGTTTCTTGCTTGCTGCCATTGGTAAATATATAAATAAATAATAAATAAATAAATATTTTCAATTTTAGTTTAGTGGTAGTTTGAGAAGCCATGAGTAGCAACACTGCAGACACACAGATAAAACAGATCTATAGATCTTAATGAATCTTTGTACATATTTTATCTTAAAAATTAATAAGTAACTAATGAAAAGCTCTGGCGTCATTGTGTATGACTGTTTAGTGTTAAATCAACAAAAATCATATTAACAACATTTTTGTTGTTTTCAAACAAACTGTATGATAAACAATTTTGATATCGTGTTGGATTGCCACTCGATGTCCAGTGAAATATGGACATATGGAACCAGTGGAGAACATGTCATACTGGTTCATAATAAATAGACACAAATGTGTGTGTGTTTTTGTAAAAAGTTTTTAAATGTGTGTGCATGTGTCATAGGGGACAGTGGTAACAGCAGCTGTCGATTTGGGTTGTTTTCTGTGTAAGGTTAAACATATCTAGAGAGAGAGAGAAAAACCACAAAGAGCAGCACAGTTGTTGTGCATATGTTGGTGCATTTTTGGAAGCGTTCTCTCGCAGTGGACAAAGCATATGATTTCTGATGTTTACAATTGTGGAAGTGTGTCTTAGCACATATGTGGTTGCCTGAGCATTCACACCTTGAGTGTGTGTGTGTGTGTGCTGTGATATCTCACCACTGAAGCATCCTCTTGTAGCGAGAAGCACAGTCCGCTTTTGCACCGTCCGCACATCTGCATATGGGGGCTGGTTGTAGATCCAGAGATCTGCTTGACAAACTTCACAAACAAAGCATGCACATAAACACATGTTCACATATGACGCACACAGGAGAAAGAATGCTAATTAAAGCAAATGTTTGTTTGTGTGCTGTCCAGGTGGTCTTACACTTTTAACCCAGTTTTACACTTACATAAAACATGAAACCGATTTCCTCAAACTGTGTGTATGTGTGTGTGTGTGTGTGTGTGTGAGTTTGTGTGGTTACAAGTATGTCCATGTGCTTGTGTGTTTTTGGTGTGCTCATGTGTCAGCCATCAGACAACATAAAAATAGAACATTTTAGAAAAGAGGCATAAACATAACCAATACAAATTAAAAAAATATGTAATTACATTTTCAAGTTTAATTAACATTAATTTAACATTATATCATCAATGTATATACATGTTCTATTGCATAAAATATTGAAATTCACAACATGTACTGTATATACTATATAAAAAATATATATGATAGTTATATTTATTACTATATAATATTTATTATATATACACACACACACACACAATTAGAATATGTGTTTTCGCATAGCAAATTTAGCCTTGCAAGAAATTCATGATGGTGAGAGTAGTTTCTCTGACAAACTGTTAACTCTTAAATGGCCTTTGGCATGTGGATCCATTTATGGTTTTAAGAATATGTATCGTTTGTATTGACTTTTGGTGACTGCAAATGCAAATGTCAACATGTTCTGTCTTTATGTTATGCCCTAAACACACATGACATGTTGTTGGTTAGAAAATACGTCCTGGTGCCTGTTAGACGACACAAAGTCTGAATGACTGCTTAAAACAAGAGATATTCAGCTAATGTGTGTGTTCAAGATGCCAGAAGTCCTTGAAACTGTATTTAAAGCACACTGTGATAAATTCTTTGACTGCTCCAAAAACCCTGAACTAACACATACTGTAAAATAAAAAAAGTATTTTATTTTATAATAATGATTGTTATTATATTATACCATAGAGGATTTGTGATAATGTTAAGGATTTTTCAGTATTGATTTTGTACAGGTGTTTTACCTGTATTTTAAATTACGGATTTGATGTCCAGTGAATTGTACTGTTTCAGTGTTGGAAGAAATGTCTGTAAATGTACTGATAATTTTCTGCCAGTAGATTATCCTTTTTTCTTCTTCTAAGAATTCTTCACATCCCTGATTGTTTTTTAACTGTTACTTTCAATTATTTACTAATCAAGCCTAGTAATCACTTAATCAGCATTGTTGATCTGTTAGCTCTTCTGAGTGAAATAGAGTGGGTTTTAGGCTGCTAGCAAAGCCTGTTGCTACAGTAAGACTGTGACACAACCTCTCTTTGAGGTCTATGAAATGTCATGTGTTTGGGAATTTAAGGCTGTGAGTCTGGCAGTGGGTGTAGATCTATGAACTCTCTCATAGAGGCAGTATTGTTCCTGTGTTAAGAGGACTGAGGAGAGAATGCTTTACAAATCACTACTTATCACTACTAGCACAAGATATCTATCAGCTCAATATATTGGCATTTGGTGATCAATTTGATTGAATTTGCTTGGTTTTATATACATCAATATGAATATTATTGATAAATAGGTCATTTAATTAGAGTACAATATCTATATTTTTTGCTATGCATTTCTGAGTCTGGGTTGCCTGATCTGGGCCGGTGTACTTCATCAGTATTTAGGCTTGTCTCCCAGCTGTCTGCTCGCCAGACAACCCTGCAACCCCCCAGAAGAAAAGGTCAAAGGTCGGTCCCACTTCCTGAACAAAGATCATCCTGAATCCAAATGCTTTCAGACAGAGGTCTGCATTTGCTCTCATTGAGCAACACAAAGGAAAACGAAGGCATCTGCGTTGTGTGTCTTGGCTGTACTTGAAATTAGGAGCGGCAGGCAGCGTATGAAAATGTTTGTCTACAGTCTGAGTCAGTGTTCAGATGTTTGTTTTCGATCACAGGGGTGTGGTGTCCGTCACGTCAATCTCCTCTGCCCTTTCTCTCAAATAGAGACTCACTAGAGCCCTGAAGAAAATCAGAGGGCAGTCCAGGATTCCTCAAGCTGCCGAGAGGAGATATTTTGGGAAGAAACGCTCATATCACATGGCCTTGGGTTTCCATCTAGCACACAATGCTACCTCAGTGTCAGAGAACGGAGAGAGAGAGAGAGAGAGAGAGAGAGAGAGAGACTTCGAGACAGACGGACACAAAAAAAGAGGACAATAAAAGAGCAAAAGAGCAAAGAACGCTCCATATGATCAGCACATGTGCATGCCGTAATTCTGCATCCGCTCATTATTACAGCACACGGAAGACATTAAATCAAGAAGATTGGGGTAGAGTTAAAGAGAGAGGAGGAGAGAGAGGGAGGGACAAGCCAAAGGAGAGCGAGGGAAAGCAAACAAGGAGGAGAAACTGCGCTGGGAGAGAAAGAGGAAGTCCAACAAAAAAGGTTGGAGGAAAGACAGGCTACATGTGGCAGAGGAGGGTGTGTGCTTAGTCATGGAGGGGGACAAAATCGCAGGTAAGAGTTCGGTGCACCACCAACAGGACGATTCTCAAAGAGATTCTCCCATACTAGAGTCTTATTTTCCGCTCTTTTCACTTGCTTTGTAAGATTTCGATGGCAGTGTTTTTTGCTTTAGCTGGGATCTGTGACTTATGGAGACTTAAGTTGTTTTGTGGTTTAAATTGAATTCATTTAACTTCTTTTATGACCTTTCCACCAGACAAAGCATTTGTGCTGTACTACTTTTGTCCCTGGTGGCGTTGGTGCTGCAGAGCAGCGTGCGTTTGTAAGATTTTCCGTTGACAGGACTGGATTTTCCATAGGCTTTGACTGGAATAGAGAACCCGGTCATCAAGCTGTGACAACAGCCAATAAATAGAGCTGTGTGTGTGGATGAAATGCTCTGTATCAGTGCTGTGGTGTGCTCTGCACTCTCAGCACACAGGCTTTTTGTAAATGTGTCAGGGACTCTGAGAGTTTCCAGAGGTCAGAGAATAACAGTGCTGTGCTTCAGCTGTACAGCAAAAAATAAATAAATACATACATTTTAAAAAGTTAAAACCGTGTATAATATGAGCCTTTATCCTTTATCTGAGTTGACACACCTGGTGCCCAAGGTCCCAGATCACTTCTGAGATAGTTAGCTACCATCAGTCCAGGTGGGTCTATAATGGATTTGGCAGGAACTGGAGAAGAGAAAAGCAACAAATCGGCATTATCTTATTAGCGATCGTAGGTATTTCAACATTAAATGTGGTTCTAGCCTACATATATTATATGATTGAAGAGACATCACTATGAACATTAAAAATGTATGAAATGCATCAAAATTAAACTTAATTTATGCATTTCAGCTGACAATTTTATCAGCAGTGACTTAATACAGGAACTAGGCCAACACAGAGCCAACAATATTCATAGTGCATAATGCCAGGTTTATTAAAAAGCTAGCCAAGGAAAAACGCTAGAACAGAAGTGAAATGCAAAGATGAGAATTTTGTGTGTGTGTATAAGTGCCTTTGTTTAAGGTTGTGGAATGGTTAATGGCACAATATGTAAGTTTTCACCGCTAGAGGGCGCGTATTCAAAACAAACAAAGGTGTAGTTTGATGACGCTGCGACTGAGTGTGGAATCATGGGAGTTGTGGTCTTCATCCCCACAGCCGATGCAATCCGACGGGACTCGGGCAGAAATCATGTTCATGGATGAGCTAATGATTTATTAACGTAGTAGAATGAAGCAGGGTGAGGCTGAAAGCCGTCGAAGCGAAACGAGGCCGCTGAACGAGCGTGACACACGACTCGAAAGCAGCGGAGCTTTTATTATGCCACAGCCGACCGCTT